GAAAAAAAATAAAGAGAAAAACAGAAAATAAATATGAAAATCATCTTAAAATATCAATAAATAAATAAAACTTTGAATAATAAATTGGGAAAATGTGGGAAACAGAGAATGTTGTGTGTAATACAGAATGTTCATACATATAGTCTACAGTGACAACATAGTCCTGTCTGGTTGGTACCAAGTGGAGGCTTGACATCCTGAGTGTCCACAATAAATCCTGCCGGTGACCTCCGACCTCTGAGCAGGAACAAACTGTTCAGTCACACGGTGTTGGACTGAAGGTCGGAGGTCGGCCCGGCGTCAGCGTCTGGAGCCGCTCTGATGAATCTGCCGCTCAGGTGTGAAGGATGGAGGGGAACTCATCACCTTTTAACCTCTGGTTCTCCACAGGCCCGGTACCGAGCAGCTCAACAACACCTGGACATGTTCTGATCCGGATCCCTGACCGGGATCGTTGTGTGTTTCTAGGTTTGAGTGAGTCCAGCTTTGTCAGCATCTGTGTTCTGCTGCCAGTAAAGAAACAGCAGCTCCAGTAAAAGCAGCGGCGTGTTTACATGCACACACCGGGTCAGTGGGGTTAATGGAGCCTCGGCGCTGGTGTCAGCTGCAGGTTGGACCCACATCACTTCAATAACTGACGCTTCTTTTCTCTGGGGACTCATCAGCCCAGATATCAGCATGTCTGTGGTCTGGAGCAGCACATCAAATTAGGTTAGTCAGAGTTGGAGCTGCTGAGACTCCGACCAGATGGGTTCTGATGAGTTCAGTGTTGGATGCAGCAGAGCTTTAGACCGTCCTCCACGATTCCCTCAGCAGGAAATGGGCGTCATCACAGCATCAAGGAGGAGAGGGGAGCACAGAGAGACAATAGGAAAAATACACAAGCACCAGTTAAATCTGCACAATGTGTAGAACCAAGTGAGTCTTCTCAGTGGATGCTGCTCCTACTAGTGTGGATGTGTTGCCGTGGTAACCTGACAGCTGATCAGCAGGAGTGTCAGCACCACAAGCACTCAGTCAGCAACATGTACAGCAGAACCTTGTCTGGTCCAGCTTCACCACATCCGGTTCTGCTGATGTTAGAGCCTCAGCAGTGGATCCGTCCATAGACAGACACTGACTGAACTTTATGGATCAGCACCAGCCTGGTGGGACATTTTTTCAGTTTTAGGTCTAATAATTATTCATTGTTGTTATTTTGGACATTTTTTTTTAGTAATTTTGAGCATCTTGATGTCATTTAGGACACGTTTCCAAGTCGTTTGTTACTGGTTTTAGAAGCGTTCAGTCATTTTGGACACGTTTTAAGTCATTTAGTTATTTCGTTGCTGGAGGTCCAAGGACAGTTTTGAGCCACTTCAGAAAGTTTTCAAGTATTTTGGACAAGTCTTAGTTATTCTGGACAGATTTTGCTCATGTTGGAGTCCTTCTGAGTCATTTTGGACCCGTTTTGTAGTTTTAGACAGTTGTCAATGCATTTTGAACCAACTTCGTGTCAGGGGGTTAGGGTTAGCGTGGGTCATTCTGGACAAGTTCAGGCCTGTCTCGTTACAATAACCTTTGCTTTGCAGTTTGACTGTTTAATTGAGTTGGTTGTTGTGTTTCTGAGCTTCTAACCTACATGTAAAGTATAGTTGAGTGCGTGTTTGTGCAGCTGTGGTCAGTAGATGAACTCTGCTGAGCGACGCTGACTGATGTTTAGCTGCAGCAGCCTGAAGGCAAACACATGATGGAGTCTGTACCGGTGTGAGCGCTGGGTCTGTCAGAGAGGCACTGATCAGTCGGAGCTGAATGAAACAGGATTGTTATCGAACCCGATGGAAGCTGCTGCAAACACCACTGTTTGAACAGGGTTTATATTAATCTGCCTTTTGTTCTGCTTCCGTCGGGGCGTGTTCGCTGTCACACTGGACTCATTCATCTGCTCCCGCCGTCACACAAACCTCATTATGTGCTGCAGCAGCTGTCGGTGTTGTGTGCACAGTCATTTCTCAGGGAGTCGGGGTCGGGGTCACGGTTAGGAGGTCCGGATTAACGGAGGCTTCCCCCTGATGGAGCTGCAGCTCAAACAGAGGCAGGAGGAGGCAGGGCCAGATGTTTCACATCAGGAGGAGACCGTCTGTCCTGGAGCTGAATGTGGCTCTGCTCCACAAGAGGAGATACGTCCATGTTCCTGGTTTGTAAGGAACCAGTTACACATTAACCGTCTGGACTCCAGGAGCTGAGCAGAGCAGCAGATAAACCGCAGAAACTGTCAGGACCAGATTCATGTCTGATAGGAGCTTAGTAGTGTGTTTTTAGCACAGCAGAGGGAACCGAAGAAACATGCTTGTCTTTCATTTTCAAGATAATATGAAATGTCCATCAGTGTTCCTCCAACAGGTAAAGCTACCGTCAGCGACAGACGTCCTGTATTTACAGGGTCACACATCGACATATGATATTTACTGAACATGATGAGAAGAGGCTTTTAGAAATGTTTCAAACAGAAATCTAAATGTGTTCTGTTGGAGGTTGTGGTTCTGTCCCAGTGTTACCTGAACACCCACCTGAGCAGGTGACAGGTGAGTCAGTGCACAGATGACGGTATGAATGGAGCAGCAGCTTTCACTGGGTTAGAAGGAACCACAGAGCTTCAGCTGGTTCTGATTCCAGCCGTTTACTGTTCAGCATTCCACTGCACTGATGTCTGATCGGATCAGAACACGTAAACCAGCAGAGCCGAGGCAAACACGGGCCACGTGTTTCAGTCATGTGAACAGTTCCTTCGTCTTCAGGTGGATTTTGAGTCGGTTTGACAACAAAGGGTCACTTTGACACAGTTATAGTGACTTTAGACCGTTGTTAGTAAATTCA